ATAGCCTATTATTTAATGCCCTTCTACAAATATCAAGATTAATGTTGATAAACTTTATGATGATTTGTAAAATGAATTAAAAAATGATAATTGGAGATTAATTTTTATTTCATTAAACTCCAACTAACCTTAAGTTTTCTGCTTGAGTAAATTTAATTATATGAGTGCTCTATCCTTAAAATCAATACTTTCAATAACACTAATGTATGGATGGAAAAGTCACATAATTAAATTCAAATATTTATTCTATGATAATCTAAAAGTATATTGATATAAAATCTTAACAGCTGCTCTATAGTTCTTTCAATATCGAAAAATCTCACTTTGCTTTTACTTTCATCCCAAACAATAATAGTTTAATCTATAATTTTGGAATTCTTAAAATCAATATCATATTCACCTTGTTACCATCTTAACAACTATTTAACACCTGTTATGATATCGAAAAATTCAAAACGAATATTTTACCGCTCATTTTCGATATCTGTATGAGAAACCAAATAAATTGAGTGTTTCCCTTCAATTGTATTTTTCTTATGAATATTTAAAATTCTTCGAATACTTCGACCATTTCTAGTCTGCTAAAGTTAAATATCGTTATAATTTGAGATTAAAAAGTAATATTGTGTTATAAATTTCATAAGATTTAATTAACTTTTTCTTTGCCATCTAATTTTCAAATTTGAAAAATCAATCATATATTAGGTCTAACTTGCAATTACAACCATATTCTGTTAAATTATATTCTGTATACTAAAAATAAACTTATTAAATATCATTTCGGTAATATTAAAATTGGCTTTTAATTTAGCATCAATTGAATACCTTGATATACTGTGATCTCCATTCATTATATAAATATCATTATTTAAACCAACAGAAATACATCTAATTAGTTTCGTTTTTATTATTCTGTGTGAATTATTAGCTACATTAATAATTGTCAGCTGATTCAAACTTTATAACTTGAGTATAAAACCGAGAATCCTAAGTAAATCTGCTATTTTCTAAAAAAAAGTTCCATTTTCAAATTCTCCCTCATATAATAATTTTACACTGTAAATTTCAAAAATTCTTATTTTAGATTTTGAAAATTCTTTTTTATATGCCTCATATATTGCAAATTTTTTTTTATCATAAGAATAACTTATTCCACAATAATATTTTAAAAAACCATCTATGAGAAGCAAGTTGGCACGTTTATCTCTAAATCATATTCAGCTTATTAATTTATATTAAAGAACTAAGTTGATCGTGATAGCATCTATGATTATAAAATAAAATATATAAAAATAATTTATGAATATTAAAACTCAAGAAGCATTACTTTAGATAAAAAGGTTTTATATTTTAGAAAGTATATTAAAAATGTAGATCATATTATAATAATAGTTTATAATTCAATGATTTAGATTACCTTCTGCAATAACTTATTATATTGAGTATCAAAAATTGATGTGGCCCGAAAAATAAAATCTATAACAATATACATTAAATATTAAGATTACTATTTTTGCGATTGTGATACTCAATATTGGTGTAGTAGAAGAGGTTTTCAATGGATAGTGATAGTCGATTTTAAAGGTAAATATAATTGAAAATGACTTTGATATTGTATTAGAAATATGTATAGGTTTAGAAAGTTACAAGGAATATAAAGATAAAATACTTAACAATTTCTTTCTAATCTATCTCTCTTAATTCAATAAGTATATTCGAATCTCTGAATTAGTATCTAATTATAATATAAAATGAATTTTAATCAAATGGGTTTACAAGCAATTACATAATACATTTCAACTTGTTAGTTGAATATTACTTATGATGGGTCATCTATAGAAATTATAAAGCATTCTTATTAATATATAATTTTCTCAAAATTGAATTTATTCATATTTTTAATGATTCAATAACTCAATTCAACGATGATTTAGGATTAGGGACTTGATAATAAGAGTCATAAATAAAAAGGCTCAAGTAGAACGAATATTATCATCAATCTTTCTGAATTGAAATAGATTAATTATGAATAACAAATTTATCCATGAAATTAAAAATAAAGTCGATACCAGAACTATTATTTTTAAATAAATAGTCTTATCGTGAGAATAGTATGGCCTTCTGATTAATATAGTATAATTAAAAATATATTATTAAAAATTAAACCATTTTATCTTATATATAAATAAAATATTAACAGTTTAATTAATACTTAATAATAAGATTTATGATTAGTGATATTATTAAAATAATTAAAATTATAATTAAGAATAACGCTCAAACAATAATGTAGGATATATACCATATAATTGGAATTTTATCCCAATGATGATTCTATAATATTTTTATGATTTCAATCATTAATACTTATATATAATTTAAAAGAGAAAATTTTTGAAGTAATTTTCATAATTAATATTATTTTATTATCATGTCTACGATAGATATTATCGAAATGGGGACTAAAAATGCTTGGAGTAGTCATTTAAAAAACCAGAATGGATGTTAGAATTGGCATTTCGATTATAATCAAAATTATATTTTTTGGACTATGGTTTTATCAAAGTGGATAAACAAAATATGAAGGAGGGCACTTTGCTACTACATTAATCACATGGGTAGTTTTTCATATGTACATACTTTGTGGTGAGAAGAGTTATATAGTGTTTGGGGAGAATGATATAAACAGAAGGAAGAAAGGGTATAAATTGATAGATTCAGTTTAATCAGGAATCCTTATAATTTATTTCTCTGTTTAGGTTTATGTAAATAACAATTAATCAGTTTTCAACAATATTTCATTGACATCTTTATTTATAGATATTGCATTGAATGTGGATTAATTGTTAAAATTTGTAGAAAAACAAAAGGCTATTTCAGCTGGGGTTATTGTAGAGAAATAGTTGACTGAAGATGAAGAACCTAACATCACAGGTGGAGAGATTACACTTTACATATCAATGGTTATTGGGGGTGGACTCGCTATGGGAGTTGCAATTGTTATGATGACAGAATTAACAAATCATCCAGAATTATAAACATTTCCGTTTTATACATGGTCACTTTATCTTTGTACAATTGGGGAGGCATGTTTTATGATTTTTGTCTGCTATTATTTAATGCCAAAGGTCAAAAAACCTCCTACAGATAATGTTACCAATATTAGAAAATACTTTAGATGCTACCCAAGCAAACATTTTTTATGTATGATGTATGGCTTTTGCATCGGTCTTTTTAGCTTATATTACGCATTCTTTTTAGGAATCTATGGATTAGGTAAAATCATCTAAAAAGTGCTTTAAGTATGTGGTTGGATTGCTAAAAATACATAATCCCGAGTTAGTCCAGTAGAGAATTGATAAACAGATGAGATTTAAATATATTTATAATAAATCATCCATATTTTTTCTGTTATTAATAATTATATTTCACCTTTCATAATTTTTCAAAATAATTAAATTTAGGTAGAAATTTAATATGTTGGTTAACTTAAATTTCAGAAAATACACATACTCAAAGATATTGGCATATTACCTGTATTTTCAAATTACAATAGGCTAAAAAGTATCTATCAAATGACATTTATTTAAGTTAGATGAATGTAAATCAACATTTATTACATTACTACTAGACTTATTCATAGAAATATAAATTCCAAATAGGATTGCAATTTGAATAAATCTCCAAATAATATAGTTATATTCCTTCCAAATATTGTAATATACATATTATATCATTGCATATAACCACTATGCATCAACTTAATTCAATTAGGATATGAAAAATTTATACTATATACTGAAATGGAAACTAATAATAATGAATGAATCAAATTTATGAGTAACAACTTTGTGCATTTTGGTTTAATAAAATTCAAAACCAAAAATAAATCTAAATTCTTAAGATTTTTTGTTTACTATAGAGAAATGATGAATTTCACACAATAGTTTTCGTATTATAGACATTAATTGATTATGTTTCTAAAAGAGCGAATAGAACTTTATTAGTTTTAATTATTTAATTATTAAAAATCGTAATTCTATCATGATCAAATAGTGCGAGTATCATAGAGGATTTGATATAAAATTTGTCTGCATTCATAAATCAAAGCTACAAAAAGAGAATAACAAGTTTTTTTGCCAAAAATGTTTAAACTGGCAAAAATCAACCGAGTTTATTAAAAGTTTGGAAGAACTTGATGATGGAGCAAAAGACAATTTAGACAAATATTTAGAAATGTAAAATAAAATAATCAATTTAAATAATTAAATGAAATATAGATATATTTAATCATTAACAGAACTCTAAAATAAAGTATTGCAATATTTTTAAAAATAAGAAAAGGTAATCACAACATTAATTGAACAATAAAACCATCAAATATCACTAAATATTAGCTAAGCAAATACGCTTTTAACCAAATAATCTGTTCTGGATTCTCAATCCATTGATAATTTTATTATATTCATAACATTAAATAATGCAAAATAATAAATTATTGAGAATTAATATAATTAAATCAATAATTATTTAGAAAGACAGTTCAATTATGAATTTGCTGAAATTTAATGTAAAGTAAACTAATTAACGACAATGGATATTAAATTTAATAATGTACCTAAATTTGAAGAGGAATAATTCAAAATTGAAACTGTTGAAAAAATAAATGATTAATTGCCCTTTTGTAAAGATCACTAAATGGAGAAAAACTGTATTTGTATACATCAAGATTGCTTAAAAGAGCAAAATCTACAATATACTTGTATATAATGTGCTGAGAGTAATCATTAAGAACACCACAAAGGAAACTATGTAAAAACCTTAAAGAAATTAAAGTAAGAATAAGTTGAAAAAATTAAATTAATTGAAGAAAATTTAAAAATGCTTAAAGTGGAAGTTGAAAACAGAATTGATAAAGTGCTAAAAGAAAATTAAGAATAACATTAGGAAAATTTTATTTAGTCTTAAATATAAAGGGAAAATCTTAAACTATTGGAAGCTTTTACAGTAAATGATCATCTCAAATAAAATTCCAAATATATCTATAAAAAAATTGACTAGAATTTATTATAATATGATTCAGACATGATCCAATAAGAATTTTAGTTTTAACTAAATACATTCGAATAATTAAAATAATAAAATACAACAATTAAGAAAAAGGAATTTCTTAAATTATACCAAAGTATTGAAAATGTAACACTGAACTATAAGTAAGAAACATTTAAATTAAAGAATTAAGTGTAATAATATGAAATCTAAATATCTGAGTTATAAAAGAAATTAGAGGCATAGTCAAATGAATCACTTTTAATAAAGCTCAAACAGATCATTTGTGAGGGATAGAATTAAATATAATAATAAATTGAAGCAACTCCAAAAATTGTTGTTGAAAGTATGCAATTTAAATTCCTATAATAAGACATGAAACACGCTATAATAAAAATTAATGAAATAAAATAATAAACTGACGCTGTACATTAGTTTGTTGTTTCTCTCAAAGAAGATATGAAAAATATTATAATACAAATTAATAAAATCCAATAATAGACTGAAGCTGTACCTTAATTTGTTGTTTCTCTTTAAGAAGATATGAAATATAATATAATAAAAATTAAAGAAATCCATTAATAGACTGAAGCCATACCTTAGTTTGTTTCTCTCAAATAAGATATAAAACATAGTAGAACAACAATTAATTAAATTCACTTATCAACTTAAACTCTTGTAAAACAAAATATAGAAGTCACCTCTTTGTTACCAGGTTTAGCAAATATGATAAAGTCAACTTAGATGATCTCAGAATAAATTTAAGTTGTTCCAAAAATTGATGCTTAAAATACACAATTTACATAGCTATAAAAGTAAATTAATGAGTAGATTATGTAGCTTAAATAATAAATTTAGTATATCCCAAATTGTTATAACTAAACATTGAGCAATCAAGTCAACCTCTTAAATGGCCTTATTAGATAGGTACATAATATAGGATTAATCTTGGAAAAAAATGGAGACAACTAAAATTAATCAGGCTATAAATTGTATTAATCCCCTACATATGGAGGTAAATGATAGCACCCATATTATATATTTAATGATATTAATATCCTTTTTTCTAAATGAACACTGATTTTATTATTTTACTTCTTTTCTTCTAGGATTTTGATTAGCAAATTAATCATTCCCTTTAAAAAAAAAAAGACTTTCTTCATTTACTTATTTTTGATTTGATGGAACTGCAAGAGTGTCTTAGTCACAAATATAATATTCGTATCTTTTTAAAATTAAACTTAAAATGAAGATCTTAAAACTATTAAAATAATTAATAAAAGGGTAATCCATCAATTTTCATCTAATATAGAATTAACTAAATGCAATTGTATTCAGTATAAATTCAATACAGATATTTCATTCATAAATTAGCATACTCTTTTTTAAATTTAGATTCTAAGAATATCATATTCAGTATTTAATAATGCTACCATTTCAAAAATTTCTATTATATAACTAATGACAGAATTCTAAAAGCAATGTATCAATAATAATATCTCGATTAAATAATATTATCTTTTATGGTTAATTAATAATACTATAACATTAATGCAAACTTCAAGTCAATTAAATGATCTATTTTTGAAATTTTTAAATGAAACTAAATATTGTTAAAATAATTTGAAGAGAATAAGTAAAAACAGATTTTGAATTTTTAGAATTATAATATTTTAAATAAAAAATAGTAATTTAATGGCTTCAAT